CAGCAGAGAAACGAACAAGTTACCAGATGTCACTGCCACCCAAAACCAACAGCTCAGCCGAGTCTGAGGGCCATGGACCAGGAGCCCAGACCCCAGGGCAGGTAGGATGGACTCCTCTTGCTCTCAGGACTGTCTGGAGGCCCAACAGGATAAGTGAGTGGAGAACACAAGAGCAAAAAGCAAGGCATCCCACACTTCATGTCTGGACTCCACTTTGAGTACTCCTCAGCCCCTCTGGAGCTGGGGATGGGGATGAGAAGAAATCAGAAGGTCCAAATGCTGAATGGGATTGAGAAGCTGGTTCTTATTGGGATAAGCTAGACAGGCTGCCCATGTGCAGGAAGAGATAAGGTGCCCCAACAGAATGATGCCCGCCTCCTCCCCCACAAAATGACAGGCAGTCACTTTAGAGTGGGTACCATTTCTTTAGTTAAGATGCCCAAAGCAGCAGGATACCAAGGTGGGCTGGGGGCAGGGGTAGGGGTGGGAATGAAAGCAGTAAGCCCCAGGACAGGGAACAAGGGGGTGTACTACCTGTGGAGGCTGAATAATAAAATGGGCTTGGTCTGCTTTTATCATCCCGTGATAGCAATTCTCAACAATACCTGTGATAAAAGGCTCCTCCCCCAAGGGCTGCCAGTTCCCATCACCCAGTCCTCGGATGCCCGAGCCCAACAGGAACTAGCCTGCAGCAACATCACCCAAAGCTCGGGCCTCAAAAACTTTAGTTGCAGGACTTTACTCCCCACGCCCCCAACCCTCACCAAAAACCCTAATGTAAAATGGAGCAGCAGGTATAGCGTGTGGTTAAGGGCAAATTCTGGGTTCAAATCCCAAATTATCTACTTACTAGCTACATGATAGCTTTAAAAGATGTTATTTAATTGAGAGAACGCACGCACGCATATGCACACACAAGCTGGGGGCGGGGGGCAGGGAGCAGAGGGAGAAGGAGAGAATCCCGAGCTGACTCCATGCCAAGCACGGAGGCTGACATGGCACTTGATCTGAGGACCCTGAGATCATGACCTGAGCTGGACACCCAGCCAACTGAGCCATGTAGGGCCCCTACATCAAAGTTATTTAAACTTTTGGTCTCAGATTCCTCATTCATAACGTGGTGATGACAATAAAGTAAGCAATTGTTGTGAAAGTTCAAGGAGGTAAAATGGTCAGGTACTTAGAATAATGCCCCGCACGAATGCTGGGCATGCCCACTAATATCAAGGACAGCCTCTCTATTAGGCTATTTGAGCAGAGAGGTCACATCCACAACAACCCCAGCCTACAGCAGATGCCTGAGCCTACCTGCCGGGGCTCTGTCTCCAGGTAAATGCCCAGAACAGAGGCTTGCCTTCACTCATACAAACAAATAATAAAAAGCTTACAGATAGAGCACCAAGATGTCCCGGATTCTGTCAAAGGTTTTTGATGGCAGAGAAAAAGGGAAGTGGCTGAGTCACATGCTGGACCCCAGAATTCCTTCACCTTCATCTAGAGTGCTAACCCTGGCCCATCCTGCCAGGGATGTGGCTGGCTCCTCAGAGACCTCTAGAGGACACACGACAGACCCAGGGGTGCCAGGTCCGCAAGCAGCCACACTGGCCCGGATCCACTGGATGCAACAGACCAGCAAAGATGGAGTGGGAGGACAGGAGAGGCCAAGACCCTCAGGTCAAGCTGTAGCTTCTTTGGCTGCCTTTCTACAGTTTACCATTAGGCTGGCAAAAAAAACTTCTTTAACTCTTAGAAAATTGAACTCCTACCACCCCAAGATTCCAAATACTACACTCCCTTCAGCTCTGCCGCCCCCCATGCAGTGAATACTGTAACTTAGTTTCATCATGTATTATGAAAGTCTCCTTTTTCAAAATAGAATGCTTTCAAACCACATGTACCCCTCCCCAGAAACACTGTAACTCTCTAGCCAGCCCTAAAGAATCAGTAAGGTATGCTTGGGTCTGGGGTTCCAAAGCATCAGAGGCAAGCCTGCCCTGTGCTACAGTCTCACAGTACTTTCTGGAGCTCCCAGCACCAGCCATGACCCATCTGGGTTAAGGCATAGCCTCTAGATCGAAAGGGACACTTCACTCTTCCCCTGCAGAACTTCTCCTTAATTCATTGCCGTCCTCCTTAGCTTTCAAATGGTACCATAGCTTCTAACACATCTCCTTTCCAAGTGGCAGAAAATGCCCATTTCCCCCAAGCCCTGCGTGATCTTGGACTCTTCATAATGTAGCCCCCAGGACGGCTGCAGCCTAGCAAACTCCAGGTACTCATGCGGTTCCACAATCCACCTCTCCCTCTGACATCTACTATGCGCTCTTCTTGGAACGCTTTCTGACCAGCACAGGTTTCCCAACCTCCTAACCTGGCCACATCTCAGGAAGGGCTGATCTCTACCTTCTCAGGGGCACCACGGCATCACTTGCTGATATCCCCTTATTTTACCTACCGTTACATTTAACCTCCCGTCCCCTCCTCCTTCTTACCTTCTAGTCTGTGATCTTGAACCTGTAATCCTGCTCCCTGGGCCAGTAAAGGAACCTAATGCCTGTGATAGGAATAAAGCCCCCAGCCATAAGGTGGTCGAGCAGGGGAAGTCAAGGCTACACAAAGGAGCAGCCCTACTGATACCCCCTTCTGGAACCATGACAACACACCCCTTTCTCCAGCCACCTAACACCTTTAGGAACTGAGGTCTTCTGGTGGGCAAGAAGGATTCCTTGGTTTTCCAGGTTTGCTTTACCTAATCTCCGAGAGCCAGCCTGGCTCAGCCATGAGAGTAAACTACCCCAGCTAACAGAGATTCCCCAGATGGTGGCTCCTGGGGGATGCAGAAATGACTGCCTAAGGGTCAGCTAAGCTAAAGGGAAGGAATTCAGTTCCAGCTCAAACCACCAATTGGACAAGGAACCTCAGCAGAAGAGCTCTTGGCCCAGAAGTCTAATGAGGAGAGGGGGCTCATCCTTGCACTTACCTGACCAGAGCAGACACCGGAATCCAGGAGATTCCCAGAACTTTAATTTTAGAACTCTGTTACACACAGGCCTGTGCCCCTCCATCAACACCAGGTGCGCTGATTCCCTTAACCACTACGGTGTTGTCACCCACCTCTGCCCCCAAGGAGGAGTCACAGGGATTCCACTTCTTGAAGATTCTGCCTTCTCTCTCAGAAAAAGCACTTAGAAAAAAGTGGCCAATACTTCACATGCTTTCTCTAAGAATTTAGCTTGACCACAAGGTTCACCCATCCCACTTCAAAGGGGTACGTCTGAGGGGTAGGTCACCCAGCCTCTTGGGTGAACTCCCTGCTGAGGTCAACCATCTAGCACTAGTGACCTTCTGGGTCTTGGCCCAGCTTCACAGGAGACCAAGCAGAGATCCCATACACACCAGCAACCCTGTCACTCTCCCCTCAACTCTCAGGGGAGATTCTGAACAACCAGGTACAGTTAGGATGGGGTTAAGGTTCCCACCAGTGCCATGGGCCTGTCAGCATGTCAAGGTCCGAGGAGGACAAGGACTTCAGGAGCCAACCCCCATCCCTTGCACTGGAGCCCACACAACCCCAGCAGACAAATGTCAGGCCCTCCCTTGTCATCCTTCTGTGTGAAGTTATATATTCCCCACCCCTTCCCCCAAAAAAGTGAGATCTAGACCTAGATTCTCAAGATGCCATGCCATTGGTGGACTCGGACTAGCAGTAACCCTCTGAATTACTAAGAATGGGTGCCGGTGGTGTGACCCTCCCACCATCCCTCGCACAGTGAGGAGCCCAGCCCAGCACTGGGCCACCGCCGCCATTCTGCACCAAACCTACGGCACGGCCCGCCAGCACCACGGCCACAGCACTGGAGGGAGGCAGCAGCACCAGCCCCCATCAGGGGCTCTGCGGTTTCTACCCCCAGACCAAGGGGAAAGGAGCTCAGGGTGGATAAATGGCCCTTGGTTTCCTGGGCAAGGGCTTTCCAGGGCGCGGCAGGAAGGGTCTCTCAGCCCTGGAGTGACACAGCTTGCCAGAGGCCCTTGGAAACAGCTGCAAAGCCTGCCCCTTCCACACCACTTTTTGTCTCAGCCGGCCCAGGTCCTGGTCTCCATTCGCTGCCCGTAGCTCTCAGGCTTATATCCACCACCTCAGACCCCATCCCACCCCACCCCCCGCCCACAAACACCCTCCCCGATTTGGCCATCCCATTAACCACCCAGCTATTGCTGATTCCACGAAGCCGCCTCACAAGCCCTCCTCTTAGCACATGTCTGGTGGTCAAGATAATGTCGCCTCTCCTTGCAGAATCCCACCCAGGCCAGCTCTGGGGTTCCGGATTGCCTGCCTGGATTGCCTACCGGAGGAGAACCGGGAAAGAAGTATCTTCATGCATCTCTTTCTCAACTCTCACTAACCACCCGCCGACCTCTTTGCCAAAGCCCAAGTTCTGGGGCTGCAAGGAAAGTCCGTCCACCCCCCGTGACTACAGCTCAGTTGTAGTGAACCAAAGCGCGGGGCTGCCGGCCCGGGCCTCCAAGGTCACGGGGAGGGGTCAGGGTGGAAAGTGTAAGGCAGTGAGGGTGCCGCCCGCCCGCGGTCCTAATCCCGTTTAGTTCCTTCCAGCGGAGGCGGGAGTCCCGGCCATACCGGAGGAGCGCCTCGGAAGGCTGTAGCGGGCCGGCCCGAGAGTGGAGAACGAGGGACGCGCGGGCAGCGGGCGTGGGGCAGGCACCGCCGCTCGCCCACCACGGGACGCACGGACGGCGGGCGGCGCGCGGCCCGCCCCGAGCCCGGGAGGGCGGGGAGACAATGCCCGCCCGGCGGGGCAGTCCAGGCCGCGCGCCCCCGCCCGCCGGACACGGGCTGCTCCTCCCTGGCCGAAGGGCAGCGGCGGGAAGGCGCCCGGAGCGCTTGCCAGACCGGCCCCGCGCGGCGCGGGAGGCCCAGCGCGCCCTCTCCCCCGCCCACCTCCGCGTGCACTTCACCCCAAGTCCCGGGGCCGCAGACCCACCTCCTCCTCCAGAGTGCCGCCGGAGCCCGTGCCGGTGCCCGTGCCGGTGCCGGTGCTGTGCTCGCCGTCCGGCTTCAGGTTGCTCATGGTGCGGGGGGTGAGGTGGGGGTGGCGTGGGGAAGGGAACGCTGAGGGCGAGCACGACGCCCGGCCCCGGCAAGGAGGTGGGAAGGGGCGCGGTGAGCGGTGCGCTCCGGGAGTGCGGGGCGGGGTGGCTGTGGGGGGCGCGCGGGGCGGGGGGGGGGGCCGCCGCCGCGTGGGGGGGGGGTCACATCAAGTTTGGCGGGTGCGGGAGGGGGGGAGGGGGTGCGGCGGGGGAGGCACTCGGAACCGGAGCCGAGCCCCAGCGGCCGCCGCCTCCGCCTTTTCACTGCGACCGGCGAGTGCGCCCGCGGCGGCGGCGGCGGCGGCGGCGGCGGCGGCGGGGGGCGGGCGCCGGGGGAGGGGGCGGGCGCCGGGCGGTGGCGGGGGGCGGGGGCCGGAACCGGCCTCAGCTGGGGCCCGGCCAGCCCCCTCCCCCGCCCTCCTCGCGGTCTCCGGGGGAACGCGCAGCCAATCCTCGCCGCCCACTGAGGGCTCGCCCCGGCCGGGGCTGCGGCGCGCCAGCCTCCGGCAGGGCTTTTCCCCTCGCCCTCGTCGTCTCTCACCCTCTCTTTCCTTTCCCCTTACCCTACAGTACGACAAGTTTTTAAACTTTGATGAACTCGCACAGTGAACTTTCTTAAAGGGTCCGCGCTCTCCGTGCTGTCCCAGCCCGCGGGAGGTGGAGCTGCGTGCCAGGCACCCGCGCTCGCTCGTCCCCAGCCATCCGTGGCCCGCCGGCCCCACGCGAGCGGCGCCCGAAGTGAGGCTCCTGGGTCGTCGGCTTCGGAGGAAAAGCTACCCTCGTACCCTGATTGGGGGTTACAGAGTGTCCCGCGCACTCATTTCACCCCCAAATCCAGCCTCTCAGTCCCCGGCCATGCTCCTGCCTTCCCCGAGCGCAGGACTGTTGGGGGTCGTCTTCTGAGGGTGATGGCGGTCGGGAGCCCGACACCTGGGGTTTGGCCCTAACTGGCCGCTGTTTTGCTGCGTGACCTTGAGGAAATCACTTCCCCTCTCTGGCGTCAGGCTTCCAGCCCAGAGGGTGGGACTTAGATCTCAAACTCTCTTCCCGCTCCTAGTCACTAAATAAGGACTCTGGGCGAGGAGACAAGTCTTTGGGACCCAAATGGTTATTAGCCCCGGGAGGGGATACCTCGAATGACCAAAATTCAATTCAATGCCTCCTTCCCCCCAACCCCCACCTCCGCCTTGGGGTCCTCTCCTCCCTCAGATTAAATACCGCCCCCCTCCACACACACCTTTTCCCCTCCTCCTATTCAGAGCTCGAGGGCGGGGGGATGGGAGAGCAGCCTTTGGGCGGGGCGGTGGTGACCCCCTCCGCGGGACTCGAGCGCGCGGTCCGCAGGCCCGTTTGCCTCTGGTTTGAGAACCCGCGCGGACTTGGCCGGACCCTGCCGCCACCTTGTAAAACTCCGTGCCCTGCTTGGGTCGCGCTTGAGATGGCAGCGGCCCGGAGCCGACCCGGGCGGAGGTCCTCGAGGACTGGGCCCTCCCAGTCACCACCCCCCGCCTGGAAGTTTCAGCCGCACCCCAGGGGATCCCGGCCAGAGGTTCCGTGTGGAGTTGGGAAGACAATGCCGAGAGGTTAGGGGAATCCTGTGTGAGCCCGGCGGGGATCAGGGGTCTCTGGGTGCGATTCTGACTTTCCCCGCCAAACCAGGTCGTGGCACCTGGGTTTGAGATTGGAAGTAAGGCGTAATGTTGGTGGAGTGGGGGAAGCTGGGTTCGCAGTGTTGAACCAATTGGGACCAGTTGGGACCCAGACTTTGGATAAATGACTCAACCTATCTGAGCCTCAATATGCCGACCTCTAAATAGGGCTGGCACCACCATATGGGAGTGTCAAGTGTGGAAGTACACAGTGTCCCTGTGACTTAGTCTCCCCAACAAATTATGATCCCCTTCCTAACCTGCCCTTTCACAGATAAGTAAATTGAGGTCTAGAGATAGGTACTATCTTTCCCAGTGACATATTCTTTCAGTAAACTGCTGAACACCCACTGTGTGCTGGGGACCCACTGTGTGCTGATGTCAAGAACAGGAGCACCCTGGTTTCCCACCCGCCACACTGCTAACACTTGGCTCAGGCCCGGTTATGAGAGGAACTGCCTCTATAGGAATCAGGCACTCCTGTTAGTGATAGGTGCTTCAATTAACCCAGAGTTTTCTAGGTTCTTCCAGCTTCTGGCACTTCCAGATGGAGCCAACCTGGTGAACCTGCAGATACCCTGGCCATCCTTCAGATGCCTCAGTCCACTGTGGCTGTATTCCCACTCCTAAACCCTCTTCCCTAGAATAGATCTTCTCATTACACATGCCTCCAACTTTGGCCCAGCAATATTCTTCCTCAACCCAATCCTTCCCTCAAGATCCTTTTTCAGCCCCACTTTTCCAGGAAGAGGACCCGGGGCCAGTTTTCTAAATTCAGGTATCCTATAGAAGTGAGTTTGAATTTTTCAAAGAGGAAGGGATTCTTATCTTGTCCTCAGGTCTTCATTTTATAGATGAGGAAGCTGAGGCCCAAAGAGGTGACAAATGGGGATGCCTGGCTGGCTCAGTTGGTGTAAAATGTGACTCTTGATCTCTGGGTCCTAAGCTTGAGCCCCATGTTGGGTGTAGAGATTACTTAAAAACACAAAAACAGAACAGGGTCCACTATTGACCCTCATCACTATTTTTCTGTGACATGAAGCTGATGATTTTTAAAATAATTTTTATTACTTTTCTGGTGATAAGAGTAATACACGCTTATTGTTGAATAGTTGAAAGCTACATAATAGTTTAGAAAACAACTTGAAATCTGGAGAGCAACATTTTTAATATTTCCCTCTGTTTTTTTTGTCCGAGCCTATTTTAAAAAACAAAACTGCTGAACAATTTAAATACTCCTTTTCCTCTGAAATTTATCACAAACATTTCTTTTAAGTTCTTTAGTGGTTTTTTTTTGTTTGTTTATTTGTTTTTAAGTAGGCTCCGGGTGCCTGGGTGGCTCAGTGGGTTAAGTGTCTGACTTTGGCTCAGGTGTGATCTCAGTGTCTGCATAGCATCTGACTCCCTGCTCAGTAGGGAGTCTGCTTCCTCCTCTCCCTTGCCCCTCCCCCTGCTCATGGCTCTCTCTCTCTCTCTCAAATAAGTAAAATCTTAAATAAATACATACATACATACATACATACATAAATAAAGTAGGCTCCACACCCAATATGGGGCTCAAACTCATGACCCTGGGGTCAAGAGTGGCATGTTCTACCAAATGAGCCAGCCAGGCACCCCTCTTTGGTCATAATTTTGAATGATTGCTTAACCCCTATTGGGTGTGCCAGAATTTAACTCATTTCTTGTTAGACATTTACATGATTTCCAGTTTTTTTCTTTTTTCCTTTATTTTTTTAAAGATTTTTATTTATTTATTTGTCAGAGAGAGATTTAGAGCACAAAGTAAGGAGAGAGGCAAGCAGAGCAGGCAGAGGGAGGAGCAGGCTCCCCGATGAGCAAGGAGCCTGATGCTGGACCGGATCGCAGGACCCTGGGATCATGACCTAAACCGAAGGCAGATGCTTAGCCAACTGAGCCAGCCACCCAGGTGTCCCTTTCTTTTCGCTTTCATAAGAAACACCATATATTCAAATTCTTAATGCCTCTGAAAGCTTTATGTGTGACCAGACCTTAAGCACTTTAGGGGCAACAACTTATTCCCCTATATGTCGATTGTCCTGGGAATGGGAGAATCTCTGACCCCAAAGGGATTTGAAGGTCATATAAATGCAAAGCTCCCACCCAGCCTGGCACGAGTATCCATCAGTGCCCGGTTGGAGTTGGGGTTGAGGCAGATGGGGCCAAAGAGAGGAGTTTGGGGTGTACCAGTCCGGCAGACTGCCTGGAGGTTGGGAACTAATATCTTTGTCTTACCCAACTGTGACCTAGTAGCCCATCATCTAATAGCCTTTTCAGTGCCCTTCTTTCCCAGTGTTCGGCTCCACATCACCTCTGAAATTCTAACATTTCTGTTCCCTTTGCCTGGAACTACCCCCTCTTTCCTAGTTTCCTGATCTTTCTGATTGTTCTCAGAGTGCCTCCTCTGTGTCCTCTTGAGCCTGGGAATTCCTTATCTTCCAGTCTTACCTACCAGATGGGAAAATTTCTGAGTCTGAGCAGTGCTCACAAGCCCTGCTAAGTGAATAGACTTACCCTCAATTTCTGCAGCCCCCTTGCCTCTAGCAGAGAGCTTGATGAGAGATGGGCATTTGCAGTAGTAGGTTTCCATAAATCTTTATTGAAATGGTACTGGGCCATTCCTGGGGCCTCTAGGTTATCTGGTGCCTGCCCCTTTCTCTCTGGTTTACTGTACATACATTATGATTTGATAGTTCATTCCTAGGGTAAGGGAAAGAGCCAGATGTCCTTACTCTTGAGAAATACTACCTGGGACCTGGCATCCTGAGGGTAGGCCAGGCTACTTCCAAGTAGGCCCCCCATTCTAACTCCACCTTCCCTACTTTCGGGAAAGCCTGTGTGATAAGAAGGCAGGTAGAGAGGGTGACCTTGAGGCCCAAAGGCTAGGATGTATCGGAGGTATTTTTCTTGGCACTTATAGGTTTAAGCTCCACTTAGGTACAAGAGGTCTCAGGAAGAGAAGGAGGCAGGATGCTGGCACTTACAAATGCCTCCTTCTACTCCAGGCAGTGAATATGTCTTCTCATCCAATTCTCCCATTGTTCCCGCTATCCCTAGTTATAGATTAGAAAACTGGGGCTCAGAAGTATTAAGGGGAACTCACCTAGCTACTGGTGGATGGCATAGGTGGCCGGAAAAGCACCAAGCAGCCCTGTGATGTGATTTTTATCTGGTGACCTTGGACAAGTTACCAGCTCAGTATCAAGCAGTTCATCAGTAAAATGGGGATACTAAGACATAAGTTCAGGGATGTGTTATGTAAGACAACCTCATGGGAAGCTCTTGGGGTTGTGATTATTGCCTGTGGTCCT